TAATGAGAATACAAAAATGAAATAACTTTTCTGATGGAATGACACCAATACCATGTCTGTAAGTGGTGTAGTTCCGGAGCCTTTGTGACTCAGACAGACAGACAGGTAGACATACCAAGAGCGCCAAAGTGTGCACATTTTTTTTTGAAAGTGAAAGTGTACTAAAAACGGAACTGTCACGTTCAAAACGGGACGTTTGGTCACATCTCACATTCGACTCATATTCGCTAACTTGACATAAATTCTCAGAGACGCCTATTGTTAGTTACCTATGTTGTTTCTCACAAAACAGGCCTAACACCTTCTCTGATTAATTAATAAAAACTTCGTCTACGTCATAATTGTGCTTTTAGATCGTCTTATCATTAAAAATACTATAAAAATTTAAATACGAGCACGGAACACGCCAAGCTGTAATCAGAGATGTCGGCATTATAACCTAAATCGCACAAAATACCGTACCTACTTATAATAAAAAATAAATCAATTATACGGTAAACATCCTGCATAATTACAAATCTTGTTGGTTTGACAGAATAAGGTATAATCAGTCGTCGGTTCGCCCTTCCGAGTACCGATATAAAGGAATGTGTATGTGTAACTAACATAAACGCATGCTAGCAGAAAAATTGCGAGTGTAAATGGGGAAGGTCAGTTACATACAATACAACATTTGTTGGGCTCTGTGTAATCGGATACCCCTGTTTATCGCAACAGTTCTTGTCTTTCTTATTGCAGTTGTAAACCACGCGCAAGTTATTCATTCTACAGCGCTTCCTTGTGGACGCGGAATAACACTAATTTAGTTTGGATTTAACGCACCAGAGGCTTAAATCCAAATCACCGTTGCCAGAATTTAACATGGCATGATCCATCTGTTAGTATATTTAAATCTGTGATATTAGCAGACACGTTTTTAAAATCGAGATAAATTGAGGTTAGGCACAATTACATACTATCCTACTGCCACAAGAAATATATAGAATAATATAAAATGAAGTGTTAACATACCTAAATAACTATAAACTTTGCGAACGAAATTTTTTTTTTAGTGCTGAACACAAACTTTGCACTGTTAATACGCAGCCTACGATCGTTTGAATACAATGGCGACAACAGCCACAAGTTGCATGTGTTATGTCGATGCTGTACAGTGATGCCAAATGAAAAACTTGTATATTTAGTGCACAAACTGCCACTGCGTCATCTCACCTAGTGCGCCAACTCTCCTTGAATTACCCTAACTATTGACGATGTGCGTAGAGTTGCATTCTTTTTCGCAGAACAACTGAAACTATCCCACAGATTTAATAGAGAGAAGGAAAAAGCAGGCTACGATTGGTTCAATTCTTTTTTACGTCGCAATCCCGATCTCACATTGAGGAAAGCAGAGGGTGTTTCTATTGCAAGAAGTTTTGGAATGAACAGAGAAGTGGTCAACCAGTATTTTCAACTTCTCCAAAGTGTTTTAGAAGATCTTGATATTTTCCAAAGGCCAGGAAGCATCTACAACACCGATGAGACCGGCTTGCAGCTCAACAATCGAACAGGTATCGTTATTGCTGAAAAAGGTTCTAAGAGCGTCTCCACAACTACGTGCAGCGAAAAAGGGGAAACAATATCATGCATTACCTGCTGTAATGCGGAAGGAACATTTCTTCCACCGGCGTGCGTATTTAAAGGAAAATACAAAAAAGCAGAATACGAAGACGGGATGCCACCAGGATCTATTATTTACATGTCGCAAAAATCAGCGTATGTTAACACTGAAATTTTCCTGACATGACTTAAAGAACACTTTCTTCCCCGAAAACCTGCTGGTAAGGTATTATTGATCCTAGACGGACATGCATCCCATTGCACATCTATTGAACTGCTAGAAACAGCTCGTGACAATGATGTTGTGTTGTTATGTCTCCCCAGCCATACAACGCATTACTTGCAACCGCTCGATAGAGCCGTTTTTAAAGCACTGAAAACCTACTTTTATGCTGCTTGTCAACAATGGGTGCGAACTAATCCTGGAAGAAAGTTAACCAGATTTCAATTTGGTTCATTACTTGCGGAGAGTTGGGGAAAAGGATGCACAGTTTCCAATGCAGTAGCTGGTTTTAAATCTACAGGGATATACCCTTACAATCCTGATGGTGCTATACCAGACGACGCTTTTGCCATATCCGACGCAGCACACCAACCCAACAGACTTCTACAATCCAACCAGATGATACGAACAACGTTAGAAATTTGTCACCAGTTCCAAGCACTTCCGGAATTACGAACAACGTTAGAAATTTGTCACCAGTTCCAATCACTTCCAAAATTGATGAAATAACTCCTGGAAAACTTCTAGAGCAAATTTCGCCGGTTCCCACTTTAATTAAAGAAAAGGCGAAGAGGGCTACGAGAAACCTTGGAGGAGTTTTGACATCAACTGAAAACATTACCATAGTTCGTGAAAAAAACATTAAAAAACAAAAAACTGTTAAAAATAATCAAGAAAAGACTGTCAAAAAAGTATCTAAGAAACGAATAAGTATACAAGTTCCGAATCTGACCATAACGTGATATTAGAAAGCGATGACAATGAAGAAGAGTATGACGAGGATGAGTGTGTAGGTTGTTTGGAAAACTACTACACACTGAAAAAAGTTACAGGAATTTTCCAATCGCCGTGCTGTAAAAATTGCAGTTTAAATCAGGGAATTAAAAATGTTTTGTGATATGTTATGTAAAATGAAAACGCATATGAGTATTACATGAGATAATACGTAAAAATATATTACTTGGGAAATTTACAGTGTAAATATGTAAATTCCCATAAGTTGACATTAAAATTAAAGTATGGGGTATGTAAAAAAAATAATTACAATGTAAGTATGAAAAACGTCAAACCTATACTGTAAGATTTTGTCCTGAATATGCCCTTGTGTAATATTACTGTCTTGATACTTGAAAACGAAGAACGTGATGTCATATTTATATTTTTGCTGAACTGCAGTTTTTGCGGAGAAGCGAAGTGAACGTCATAGCCTAGTCATTTGGTTATCCTGAACTGAATTGGTGTTTGTTAGTCTGTGTCCTGTAATTAATAGAATAATCTGCGATTCTGAAAAACTGAAGGTAAGTACGTATTTTAATTATGTTTAACTGTAATAATTGTAAATTTAAGTGCAGTAATGTCGAGAAATACGATTTGCATCAGTACTTGCATAGAAATAAAAAGGGCGCGCAATTCTTTTGCATTCGCCATCAGTGCAATAGATTAGCTTTTAAAACATGTTCTGGATTTAGACAACATATCTTTCGACATCACAGACAATTAAACCCCAAAAGTAGTGAAATTAGGGTAAAATGTAACGTTAAAAATTGCATTTTTATTGCTACTAATAAAAAGGAATTGTGTGCTCATATGCGCTCTCACATTAGAGAAAACGTTCCTATAACATGTCCATTTATTTCTTGTGCCAGTTGCAAAACTGTTTACAAAAATGTTCCATCGTTTAAGACCCATGTGATGAGGAAACACTTTGATTTTGCAGGCATTCATAAATTCGGATTTAACGTGACTAACGAAATAGATTGCAACCTACCATCTGGTTCTGAAGAATATGTGCTCGATAGCGAGCAAACTGAAAATGTTAACGATTTACATTCTCTAAACTCAAAAAAAGACTTGGAAGAAATTGGAGTTAAATATTTGGCCGATTTATATCTAACCTTGGAATCAAGTCACTTTCTTTGCCAAAATTCTCTCACAAAAATCATACGAGGTTTTTCTGATTTTGAGAATTTAAATCATGATTACATGTTAGCAAAATTAAGAGAACTCGATAACGAAAGCAGGTTAAATTACGAAAATGTAGCAAGTTTATTGAAAGATAGGGTAATTGGAGGAGAGTCGAACCATGTTTTATAAAACTCCATATTGCATCTTTGCAATGCGATATTTAATTCTTACAAATACGGAATAGACAAGCACAGAGCATTATTTAATCGTAACAAAATATAAATCAATCACATTGATTAACATAAAAAACTGGCAACGTTTACAAAACAATACTGCAACGGTCCATCTCTCCTACCCCATGTAGGTGAGATGGACCAGTATGGATAGGAGAGATGGACCCCAGGGAAATTATGTCTTCTTTTTACTTAAACTTTTTCCACATGGCAGACAAACATTCTCAAAGGAAGTACAACCTTCGTGCAGCCATCGCTTACACGTTACGCACTGTATCCAATCATCCTTACGTTGAGTTTGTCGATAATCTTCATGGCATCCTGCACATTCATTTTCATATTCCTCAAGTTCTTCTTCCCCAGAAGAAGTATCGTCCAAAACCAAATTCTCGGATTCAGAGGAAGATGATTCATCGCGTGGGGTTACAACACGAGACTTACTTATAGCTTTGCTCTTTACCACCACGGATTTGCGTTGTTTTTTTGAAGCAACTTCTTTTCGATACCCTATGTACTCTGGTGACGTTATGACTCTTGATAAGTTTCTCTTAACTTTCTGAGTTAAAGGAGCAATAGTCGGTACAGGAGAAATTAAATCCAGAGCTTTGCCTGGGGTAATCTTTGGAGGCGTCTCATGAGACTCAGTGCGATTACCTGATGGTCCAGGTTGCGGACTGATTTGAGGGTGGTGCCGAGTTTTGTGTTGCTTAGGTTGTGGAGTGATGGGTTGTTGTTGATGAATTACTGGAATGTCTTGAGTTGGGCGATTTTGATTGTCAGGAGTATTCATGGTATCCTCGATGATCAGAAACGCATAGTCAGGAATAATTTGGGGATTAAACGGCATCACTCCTGTTGATTTAAATGCAGAAACTGCATTGTGAACAGATGCTGATTTTCCCCATGATTCTCCCAGCAGTTTACCAAATTGGAGTCTATTCAGTTTCCGGTTTGGAGTGTTCTTCATAAACTGCCTGCACACTTCGTAATAATGCCCCTTTAAAGATTTAAAGAAGCACCTGTCAAGCGGTTGTAGGTAATTAATGAGTGGTGTGTGGTGGAAGACAAAATAGAATTATGTCGTGTTGCTCAGCAAATTCCAACATTTCCACATTTGAGGTGTGTGATGTGTGCCCATCCAAGAGCAGCAGTACTTTGCCAGAGCCCTTCCTAGGGTAAAAATGGTTCCTTAACCAATCGAAGAAAATGTTAGAGTTTACATAGGCCGATTTTTCCGACATTTGTATTTGTGACCCTGGAGGCATACCATCACTCCACTCATCTTTTTTGTTTTTTCCCTTAAAAATACAGTAAGGGGGGAGATAGCCTCCTTCCGCATTACAGCAAGCCAAAACGCTTATTGTTTCTCCCTTTTCTCCAGGGCTGATGGTGGACACAGCTTTTGAACCTTTTTCAGCGATTACCAGTCCTGCTTTTGTATTAAGTTGCAAACCAGTTTCATCTGTGTTGTACACGTTCCCTGGTTTGTCGAACAATTCATATTCGGTAAGTACGCTCTCTAAGTCTTGAAAGTATTTAGTTACCACCTCTCGTGACATTCCTTTTGCTCGCGCTGTTGAAGTGTTTTCAGATTTCCGAATGCTTAAATCTGTTCTTCTTCTCAAAAAGGATTGAAGCCACTTGTAGCCTGCTTTTTCTGCAATAATAATAGAATTATCAATAGGTAGGTACGAAATTGTTCTCGATCTCACCTTCTGCTTGGTTAAATTTTATTGCTAGTTTTAGTTGCATGGCAAGCTTGTATGCCATAATTCTCACATCATCTCGGGTCGGAGCAAAACCTCTCTTTTGGAGTTTTTTAATGTGAGAAGCTAATTTTTGTTCAGCGTCTACCCCAAGGAATGAATCTGGTCCCAGCCTGTCCGTTTTCCCATAATTTCCCGTTTTTATTCTCCTCTTTAATGTAGCATGTGGTATATTGAAAGATCTAGCAGCTTCATTTACTCCCAAATTTCCCAACTGTACAGCATCAACAGCCAAAAGTAAGTTTTCCGACGTCCACGAACCTCTAGGAGTTGCCGTTTGCTTTCTTTTATACACGTTAGGCATTTTTTCCTGAAAAAAAACTGTTGGTTCATCTCTCCTCTACATTGTTGGCTCAACTATCCTCCTATGAGGAGGATAGATGAACCAGTTAATAACTTCGTCATGAGAGTGAAAACAACCATATTTTTAGGTTATAATTGCGTATACATACGTAACTTACCTCTTTAACCAAAGAAAACCGTATGAAAATTCGACTAAGGGATATCACAAAATCACAGTCAAAAGTTACGAATAATTTTCACAGGCGCACAAAACTAATTTATGCAAAAATACTGCCAACAATGTTTGGAACTGCGCCGATTGCATTCAACCTCACTTTGGTACAATCATCAGTTCGTTGTCACGTGCTCACCACGTTCCTAAAGGCGCGAAATTTTGCTAAACGATAGATGGTCCGTCTCTCCTCCCGGTTCATCTATCCTCCACTTACCCTAGTTTGTTTGGGGTCGCTCATAATAAAGTGAGCGGTTCTTTGCGGACAACTTACATGCGACACAATTTTTATAAAAAAGAATTTCAGTTTGTAGAACCCCTCAAAATAGATTTAGGCGTAGTCGAAGAAAAAGATGCATTTTTTTACTACGTTCCAATACATGAAACTTTAAAATCACTCTTAAATGACCCAAATGTAAATAGTCAATGCTTTTCTGCGCCGCACGTTTCTTCCGACGGTGTGTATAGAGATTATTATGACGGAATCTGCTGTAAAGATAACACTTTTTTCTCAAGAAATAAACATTCTCTTAAAATAATTTTATATCAAGATTCGTTTGAAATTTGTAATCCTTTGGGCAGTGCTCGCAATAAATATAAAATCACAGGAATTTATATGACCCTTGCAAATTTGTATCCATGGAATAGAACACGAACTGAACAGATACAATTAATTGCTTTGTGTTTTGATAATAGTATATTAAGTATGGAGAACGGTAAGGGATTTTTACCGTTCGAAGACAATTGTTTGGAGGAGGAGCGAAGCGACGACTCCAATTATTGTCTGAGAACGGTAACCCTTAACGTTCGACGTGCTTATAACATTTTTTGCGCGATCGAAATTAAATTTATGCAACCAATATAAATATGCACTAAGAAATTAACGAGCAGAATAAATCGAAATGATCGAAGTGGTATGGTGTATATCACTAGGTAACCAGTTTATTTGTCAAAATTGAAGTTAATAATTTCATAAAAATGTGCATGTGTCTGATGTAGTTTACTAGCTTTGAACTTCCTTTATGACTTTATGAGCGTCTTGCTATAGGAAACAACAGCACAAATTGTACGTTTAATGTACCTAACAATAATTAAAGATTAAATGTAATGTAAGACTGTTGATTTTTAAAAAGGCGTCGGTAAGTATTTTTGCTGTTCTGTTTTTAGATCGGTAAGTAATTTTGACGTCGTCGTAATCATAGCAACTGGTAAATTCTACCTACTGTCATGGAAACACCCATGGTAAATAGTCAGAAATGACCGATCGCGCAAAAACATATAAAACACTTTGGTTTTGGTACTATTCTTCGTCCCTTGATCAATGACTTAAAAATTTTGGAAGAAGAAGGGTTAAGAATTAATGAAAATGTAATAGTCAAAGGAAGCATACTTTGTACCGTCGGCGATAATCTAGGGAGTCACCAAATTGGAGGATTTTTGGAAACCTTCAACGTAGAAATGTTTTTTTGTAGGTTTTGTAAAATTCAAAATTTTAATGGGTCAACTTATTTTGGTAATTTGCGTACTGTGCAATCATATGACCATGATGTTAATATGGCTTTAACAATCAATAACCATTTTGAAGGAATTAAGCATAACTCTCCTTTAAATGAATTAAACTATTTTCACGTTGCTCTTCCTGGGTTACCCCCTTGTTTAGCACATGATTTAGTGGAAGGAGTAATCGCCCGTGATTTAATGTTAGCAATTAATTATTTTGTCCAAAAAAAGTACTTCTCCTATGAATACTTAAATTTTAAACTCAGGACGATTAATTTTTTATTTGAAAAGAAACAATCGGTCCCTGTAATTAAAAAAAGCCGATAAGTTATCGGGGACGGCTTCACAATTAATGTATATAAATAATGTTCTACCATTTATCTTGCTTGAAAAAATACCGTTAATTAAATCTAATGAACACGGGAAAGAAATGTGGCAAATGATTTTATGTTTACGAAAAATTTTGAACATAATGTTGGCGGTTGAGGTATCCGAAGACCAAGTTGCGGTTTTGAAAGATCTTCTCCTGGTATACATAGATTTAAGGAAACAGCTTTTTCCTGAAATAAAGCTTACACCAAAACATCATTATATTTTGCACTATCCTCATTTAATTAAAATGTGGGGTCCGCTTAGGTTATTATGGACATTAAGATTTGAAAGTAAGCATAAATATTTTAAAGATGCTTTAAGGCGATCACCGAATTTTAAGAATGTTTTGATATATCTTACAACTAAGCACCAATTCTTACAAGCTCTGAATTCGGAAAATAAAATCCTCTATTGTAATAAAGTTATAGCTGAAAACTTAGAAATTTTCAACCCAGTCAACTATCCTCCCGAGATGTTAAATTTGATATCAAGTAGATATATGTTGAGTACTTTCAGATTTGTAGCCGAAGAAATAACTCATAGGGGTACATTTTATAAAAAAAATATGCTAATTTGTCACGATAAAGATGAATTTGGTATTTTCCATCTGTGCGAAATTAAGTACATTTTAATTACAGAGAGTATGGAAAACTTGTGGTTTGTTGGAAAAAATGTTGAAATTTATTATATGAGTACCGGTTTATACGAAGAGCTACAAATCGAACACTCCCGAAGTACTGATGTAGATGTTTGTATATCTTTTGAAGAAATATTATCTTTTGAAACTGTTTTAAAATGTAAATTGAACGAAAAGTACTTGTATTATTTTAAATCGGCACCTTTAGAAAAATTCTAAATCAAAAACTCTAAACTTTAAAATAGTAAATCCTATTATTTAATAATATGCCCCCCTATTTCTTTCTATTATAAATATGATATTTTGTTTGGACCTCACTTCTCACTTACTTGCACTGCTAATCCTAAAATCTCAAGAAACATAACTCTCTAATGCTATGTATTATGCGTTTAAATTTATTTAACGAGCAAAACACAAAGAAGTTGTGCTCACATGTTAAATAAATTTGAATGCCTTTTTGCTCAGAATAACCATGGCGGGGAAAAAGATCTACACCGTATGGTCCCGAGATAGAGAGAGGAAAACTTTAATTTTGATCGATGAAAATGACGTGGATATGTACAAAACCTTAATTTTAAAGGGTAAGATGGCCATAATGCTCGGCTATTATAAATGAACCATGTCTTTCATTACAGCATCCCAAAAGCTACAAGTTGACGGTTCATCGTTAGCTTTGGAATCTAACGGCACGCCAATCGATTCAGAAGTTCTACCGTACCTTAACCAGATGGATATATTGATGTTATTGGAAAAGAGTGAGACCTGGAAATCAACCGATTCATTTTCTGTAGCAACAGGAAGTACGGTAACAATCGCACAATCGGATATCTCAGACTTGCTATTGCAACCATTTCCTGAAGGCGCCATCTTTGAGGAGAGAGAAGTTCACCCAACTCCAACTGAAAAACCTGACTCTACACCTATCGACAATATCGATTTGACCTGCAAAGTAGATTGCAATTCAGAATTTTTATGGACTAATTTTGAAATCCCCTTAGAGAGACTAAATAGTGAACAACTTGAAAACCTTGGAAATGGTGTGAGAAATAAACTCGATATTAAGTTTTTAGTCCAACTAATTGTAAATGACATGAGACTAATTAAGAAGGTCATTCCAATGAAAGCCTTCAAGATTGTGGCTAAAAAACTTATAGATCGATATCCATTGATTTTTAGGGATGTAGATGAAGATGGTGTTGTACTTGGGGATGGAAGCCATTCCTTAGTGAGCAAATTAGTAGAAAGGAACAACTACTTAAACAGGCCACACAAAAGAAAAAGCACCGAAGCACAATCTTCTCCAATCGTTTCAAAAAAACGGGTTTTAAGCGCTAGAGCAGGCTGTGTAAATTGGTCACCTGAGATCGGCCACCATGACAGTGAAAGCATAAGCAAGTTAACTGAGAATGCCGGAACTTCTGATGAGCAATTTGTGCAATTATTAGAAAAAACTTATCCTCAAATAAGAAAAGTGTTAAATGAAGAAGAGCCACCCTTCTCTAAGCTAATGCAAGAGTGGCCATTGCTGTTCTCAAAAAAGGCAATATTTTGGCACTTCAACAAGCTAACGAACTCTGACATCCATTTAATGGACCTCATCACCAGCAAATGCAATAAAATCACATCATTTTTAAAAACCAAGTTGAAAAATGATTTCGACGACACTAATCTCGTAGAAATTCGTACTATCACAAATATTACGAAATATTTTAAAGAAGATTTACAGAACCTTTTTTTAAAATGCAAGGTAAGAAATTAATAATTCACATGATATATGATTTAAAATCATACTTTGTGTTTTAGGACTTACCTGAAATTACCTTAGAGAGTATTCCCCTATCGCCATATATAATTCAGACTGGGGGTAAGTTTTATTTTTGTGTGCTACATTATATGAGCCGAGCCTACAAGATCAAGGCCTTAGCAAATTTTGGTTGTGTTTGCAGTTTTTGAACAATACTGCACTGTGTCCAAGATAACGAGGGCCACTATGAGTATTTTAGAA